TCTCTCTCTCTCTCTCTCTCTCTCTCTCTCTCCCTCCCTCCCTCCCTGCCTCCCTCCCTCCCTCCCTCTCTCCCCATATGCAGTCAGCAGCACACACAACCCTAACACACTGTACAGATACACAACACACCATCATTTCTATCATCTCCCCCTCTCACGCCCCTTACACACCCACCCCTCGCAGGCACACAAGCACACGCGCGTGCGCACACCACACTCCCGCTCCCCGGGTCCGGACCGACGGACCTGCTTCTCTCGCTCCGGCGAGTCCCGGGGGCCAACCCACGGGAGAAGGGGCTCCCTGGCCCCAGCTGGGCAAGGCTCGGCGAGTCTAGCCTGTTCTCCGTTACGTCCAAAGCTGGGACTCGAGCTCAGAGCCCCCGACTCCCTTTGGCTTGCCGGGCGATCGCAGCTTAGCCCACCCGAAGCTCCTGGTCTGTCCCTGGTCAGGTCTACGAGCCGCAGCGCTCTCAGCAGGCGGCGGGCGGCCGGGCTGCGCTCGCGTTCGGCACTCCGCTCCCTCCCCGCGGCGCCGCCTCCTGGCTGTGAGCCCGGCTCCCCGGCCCAGCGCCCGCGCCGGGGCCCCGCGGCTGCCGGCCTTCTCACAACCCTCCCGCCGCCTCCCGCGCCCGCCCTCCTCTCCCTCCTCCCAGCCCGCCCGCCGCCCGCGGTCCGCCCCTACCCCGGCCGGCAGGCCGGCTCGCACAGCAGCGCCGAGCCACAGCCGCCTCACTGCTCCGGCCCCACGCGCACTCATTCACCCAACGCTTCCAATCAGCTGCGGGAGAGCCGGTGCCTCGTTCTCAGCCTGGCACTGGCAGCCACAGGCTCGGAGGACGGCCCAGCGCACACACCCACAAGCACGCCATTCCCGAGAAACCCGCTCGGGCGAGGGCACTGGGCGCACTCGCGTGCGCGCGCGTGTACACACACACACACACACACACACACACACACACACGTACACATGCAACGGTAGTCTGGCATAGGATAGCATCCCAGGCAATCAAATCCATTCCTCTGAGCCCTGGATAGACCTACTACTCTGTTACAACAATGAGAACAAATATGTTCCCATTTTAGAGACAGATAAAGTAAGTCCCCAGAACTTATCAAATTGCTTAAGATTGCTCAGCTTGACGGAGACTTGAACTCAGTCTCTCTGCTTGCCTTCTTCACCACCTGGTGGTTTGCAAACATACAACCACTGAAGAGGGCCTCCTACGCTACTTCTTCGCAGGCCAACTGCCAAATGCCAATCCCCATTCATAACGTCTCTTTTTGCTAAAATCTCTCCAAAATACTCAGCTTCAGAAATATCTGTGGGAGAGAATAGTGAGACAAGCTGGTGTGCGAGGTGGATCACAATTTGTCTCCAGTAAGACATGGTAGAAGAACACAGAAACAAAGAAAGAGCACTCAGCCTCACAGGACTGCTAGATCAGGAGTACTGAGCAGCCACTTAGCCTGCTGCACTGTCTAAAGGTTGTATCATTGACTGACTGAATAAGTGTGGCTTTGTCTGGAGTCTCTAAATCTCTTCATGTTTTCCTTCTTCCAAAACGTTGAATTTAATAGAAGCACACACACACACACACACACACAGAGAGAGAGAGAGAAGAGAGAGAGAGAGAGAGAGAGAGAAATACCTTTAATTCTGTCACTTGGCAGGCAGAGGCAGAAAGATTGAAACTTTGAGATCTGTCAGGACTACAAGTTGATAATCTGTCAAACAAACAAACAAACAAACAAAACCCCAACCAACCAACCAACCAACCAACCAGACAGACAGAAAGGTAGACAGACCAAACAGCAAAAGACTTGCCCATTCTGCTTGGTGTGAGGACAAAAACCTAGCATCACCCTTTAGGCAGTAAAGGCAAAAGGATCCAAGTTCAAGGCTACCCTTGATTGGTCACAGAGAGATTTTGAGGCCTGTTCAAGCTACATGATAACCAGCCTCAACAGACAGACAGGTAGACAAAAATTATCTAGTCCTGCTCCAGAAAGCAGAGAGTTAGCATAGTATTTTGCTCAGAAAGGCATCTGAGACTCATTTTCTGATCACAGAACTCATGCCATCAATAGATAAAAAATCAAATCAGGTCTCCCACCAAGCTCTCAGAGACCGACTGTGGGTCGGGAATTTATCCTGAGTCTCCAAACAAAACACTGGGAAAGATGTGCCCTAGGTGTCCCTAAAGATAGCCATGACTCTGTCTCCTCCCTAGGCCATTAGGGGTTGCCTACAGGCAGCACGCTAGGATTCAGACTCTTATTTTTTCATATGCTTAATAAAAGCTATCCCACTGGACACATTTTCTTTACATCTCCCTCTTAGAAAGCCTCATTTCTTGCTAATCATGTTCACTTAAAGACTTCTAAGTGAGAAGGCAGAAATAAACATATCCCAGCACATTAAAATTGCAATCTTCCATGACCAGGCAGGGTTATTCCCAAGAATGATATTTTTACAAAGATATTGAAAAGGGATAGTGACTGAACTCATACCTCTAACTTTACTCCCTCCCAAAACCCTATTGAAACATTATTAAGAAGACTTTAGAGTCAATTGACATCTCTGCAAGGATGGAGAGAGCAGGAAGGGACAAGAGCAACAAGACCCTTGGGGCAGGATGGCAGGCAGCAACAGTTACTGTCTTAGCAGCCCTGAGCAAAAAGCTGTCTCCAACTGGCAGAAAGGAAACCCAGAGTGAAGTTGATTTACATCACACTGTTCTCAGAAAGCACAGAAACTGCGGGAGCATAGGCTAAAGAAAAGGCCAATCAAAGCACAATTCGATTCCTAGGTCTCTTCCCTATCTCCAAACCACTAGGAAACAGTCCATCCTCCCCATAACCAGTAGGGCCTGTGGGATTTTCCTCTGAGGCGAAGAAGCGCTTGACTGGCAGTGCCTCAGGCATCCTCTGAACTGAAACACTTTCTTAGTTAGGGTTTTACTGCTGTGAACAAACACCATGACCAAGGCAACTCTTATAAGGACAATATTTACTTGGATCTGGCTTATAAATTCAGAGGTTCAGTCCATTATCATCAAGGAGAGAACATGGTGGCATCCAGGCAGGCATGGTACAGCTGAAGCTGAGAGTTCTACATCTTCATCTAAAAGCTGCTAGCAGAATATTGACTTCCAGGCAGATAGGATGAGGGTCTTAAAGCTCACAATCACAGTGACACACCTACTCCAACAAGGCCACACCTACTCCAACAAGGCCACACCTTCTAATAGTGCCACTTCCTGGGCTGAGCATATATAAACTTCAACAGACACCTTACTGAAAACAAAGGGATTTAGTGCCCAGGTGCCATTGGAATGCTGAATGCAGAGAATCTGAGCCTTCTCACACAAACAGGTCCCTTTTGGTCTTCAGGCTGGTGACGGGAAAACTCTACTCTGGGGCTTTCCAGCAGCCAGAGAAAAAAGACTCAATGAAGCCACCATAGGAATTCTTCAAAGTCAGCCCTGCTGGATCACCACACAGTAACCAAACCCAATCTGGGAGATCAGAGGGTTTTTGTATTGTCTTTTATAGACAGGGTCTTTTTGTGTAGCCCTGGCTCTCCTGGAACTCTCTATGTAAACCAGGCTGGCCTTGAATTCACAGAGATCCACCTGCCTCTGCCTCCTAAGTGCTGGGATTAAAAGCATATGCTACCATGCCCAGAGATCTTAACCAGCACTTCATCCCCACCCTCCATCTTTAATCGTAATCAAAGGACTTCAGTCAGGGAAGCAGGTAGGCTAATTGCAGATCTTCACCTTTCCTTCATCTCCATCTTTAGTCGTGATCAAAGGACTTCGGTCAGGGAAGCAGGTAGGCTAATTGCAGATCTTCACCTTTCCTTCATCTCCCCGGAAACAAATCCCTCAGTCTCTTCCCCAGCTCTGTAGCAGACCACCTGCTGCTGCTTCCCACCGCCTGACTCCCTTCTCCAGTGGGTCACACAGATCTCTCCCTCCAAACTTCACTCCCCTCCCCAAGTCATTCCCAACCCCAGCTAGCTTTCCCTGAGAACTTATAGGTCACTCCAACCAGGGAAGCAGATAGGTTACCTGTAGATATTCACCTCTCCCCCTGCTCCCCCAAATCTCCTACCCCCTAGTCTCATACCCAGCTCTTCAACAGACCACCTGCCCTTCCTTTCTTTCTGTCCCCATTCCTGGGGGACTAAGTAGATCCTGGTGGGATACTCTGCTTTCCTTCCTTTTATGGAACCCTTAGCTACCTCTTAGCCCATCTCCACTCCTAAGTATCAGCTTCCAATACATAGAAATGAATTGAACCCTCAGTGGCCACACCTAGGAAGATCCCAGAATAATTTTTCTATCAGGCAACACACAGCCACCATGCTCTAAGAACTAGAGAGGAGAGAGGAAGAAAAAAAATCTAACATCCAACAAATCTAACAAAGACAAGATCAGGAGTCAGCACCTAGAATTATAATCTTCCCAAACCCAGGTGCCTAGATACCAATGTAAAAACACAATCAATAACATTCAGGACAATGTCTTCACTAGAGGCAACAACTCTGCCACAGCAGGTCCTGAGAGTTGCAACATAGCTGAAGCACAAGAAAAGGGCCTTAACATAGCCTTTATGAATATGATAAAGGTCCTTAAAGAGGAAATAAATAAATCCCTTAAAGAAAGCTATGAAACACAAACAGTGGAAGGAAATGAATAAAAACAGTTCAAGACCTGAAAGTGGAAATAGAATTAATAAGGAAAACCCAAATTGAGGTGATGATCTGGAAATGAAAAGCTTAGGAATTCAAACAGGAACCCAGAGGCAAACTTCACCAACAGAATATGAGAGAGAGAAGAGAGACTCTTGGGTATTAAAGACACAATAATAATAAAAAAAAGAATACCCCAGTAAAAGAAAATGTTAGATCTAAAAAAAATTCCTGGCAAACATCCAAGAAATCTTCGGGGCACTATGAAAAGACCAAACCCAAGAATAACAGAAGTAGAAGGAGAAGAATCCCAGTTCAAAGGCTCAGAAAAATATTTTTAACAAAACCATAGAAGAAAAATTTTCTAACCTAAAGAATGACATTCCTATATAGGTATGAGATGCATATAGAACACTAAATAGATTGCGAAATAATAATCAAAACACTAAACATACAGAACAAAGAAAGAATATTAAAAGCTGCAAGGAAAAAAATAACATATAAAGACAGACCTATTAAAATAATACCTGATCTAAAAGCTAGAAGGGCCTAGACAGATACTCTACAGACTCTAAGATACCATAGATGCTAAACAAGACTACTATATCCAGCAAAATTTTCAATCACAATAGATCAAGAAAATAAGACATTCCATGATAAAAAACTAAAGTTAAGTAAAATCTATCTATAAATCCAGCCCTACAGAAGACACTAGAAGAAAAACTCCACCTAAAGAGGTTAACCACAGCCCTCCACCTCCCGAACGCAGGAAATAAATATTCCCAGACCAGCAAAACAAAAGAGGGGAAATACACACACACATACACACACACACCACCACCACCACCACTACCACCACCGCAACACAACAAAATACAAAATAACAAAAATCAACCAACACTGCTAATTGCTATCTATGAGCATCAAAGGTCTCAACTCCCCAATAAAAGTCATAGATTAAAATAATAGAAGACAGGATCCATCCTGCTGCATCTAAAAATAAAAAAAAAAAAAAACCTTAACATCAAAGATAGACACCACCTCAGGGTAAAAAAAAAAAAATGGAAAAAGATATTTCAACCAAATGGACCTAAGAAACAAGCTGGTGTAGCC